TCCAACTACTGCGTTCAATCATTAGGTTGTTAGTGCTGGCGGAAACCGTGTTGCTCGGATGCTATGATTTTGTGGCGTTCTAGATGGGTGCTAAAGCCCTAGCAATCATTGTCTCCATCACTTTTGAGAGAACATAGATTAGAACCACTTGGCGACAGTTGGTGGGTTCCGAGCGATTGCCGCATTTGACAATTGGAGTGAATAAGCCATGTTTGGACATGGTAGGCACAATTTGCTTATACAAGCACGTTTGCAATAAATGCGGTAGTGACCCGACCAGCGATGTTGCTTAACCGTTTAGCACCCTCGGTTGAACATAGTCGGTTCAGGGAGAGGTGTATGTGAATGGTCAGAGCAGTTTCTTCAACACAGCTGTGGCAGTAAAATTGATGTTTGAGTGTCGAAGTTGGGGAGAAATATGTGGGTATGTAATGCTGGCGGACGACCCTTTGGAAGATTGGGGCATACTGCACACGTGGGGCCTTGGCTGCCTCTTCGGCGCTCGGTGTCACTCCGACTGGCGTGTTAAGTGAGGGGATACCGAGCTTCACATTGCGGATACTGTTAACAAGCCAGTATAAGAGCTTTTTCTCGTTGGCAAATGTACAGGCCAAATATACTTGGTGAGCCAATTTGTCCTCAAGGACAAGCAGGTTTTAGTTGTTGCGCCGGGTCACATATTCGCTCCAAGTTTCGGAACTAGGGCGAGCTCTCTGTGTCTGCTAAGCTGCATTCTTTATTTACACGCACTTGCGACTTGTACTTCTAATGAAAGACGAGGAATAGGTGAAGCGAACCCTCTGCGTTTCTGAAGTAGTTGCGGTTAGATTGCTGAAGTGTCCAACAAAATGATTCCAGGCGCTATCAGATGAGTCACCCCTCAAGAACTTCCAACTGGTTGTCTCAACTAGGTCGTTCAAGATGTTGTAATGTGTGATAGTACGGGTTAGTCCTGTGTGTTCCACCGCATATTCATCGTAACACACATAGTTATAAATTATGGTGGCACGATCGTTTAACCTTATTTAGGTGGCTATAAATGGCCGGTCGATCATGAGTTTCTCATTTGTAAGGACGAAGTAAAGTACCGATGGTTTGTTACCAGCTCTGTACGTGGTATGAGCTGATGTGATTGTAGAGCGTGATACTTTCGATAAGGTCTTGCAGCTCGGCCTTGTAGGTTTCACTGTCTGATGCTGAGGAATGCAAGTCGTGCACGTGGTAATCGACAGAAATATGAACGGGGCTGTAAGTTGGGAGTAAATATCTCGTCAGTGATGATATGAGGTGGGATTCCATCTCTGAAGTGGACGATGGGGAGCGAAATACGACTGCCGCGAAGCAGTTGTAGTTGTGTCTGAGACGCAAAAGGCACCATAGTTAATCGGTGACCCGCTTCTCCGGATCATCCAGTGGTTCGCATTGTAACTCATTACGATAGTATAGGATGGCAGCACCACCCCTGCTGGGACGATCGTGTCGGAACAAGGACATTCCCTAAATCGCGATCTCGTCATCCGTAATCCTTAAGTGCAAGCAAGTCTCGGTGATGGATATGTGCTCCCAAGCGTTTGTTGCTTGGCGCAACCGGCGCTCGGCGATTTTGCTAAGGTGGCCTTGGGTATTCGTATTTCGGTTCTCAGCAACGATCCGACGATAGGTTGTGCTGGCCGTTGTATGGTCGGCTGTTAGCCGTTTTTTGTGCTATTTTCAGGCAATCGCATGGAATAGTGTTCGGGTGCATTCTGATTAGGTCCTCTAACAACTCCGTTTGCACAATGCATGGAGAGTGGCTGCAGGATTGCACAGGAAGATCCTTAGTTCCTTCAGACTTTCTTCCGGTGTGAATTTGGCTAAGATCAATACTTCGGTTGCCTGTGGTAGTGGTGCTCTTAGTCGGACGACAGTTTCGCTCACCGCTTTGAACTGGAACTCGGTTGTCAGTCTTTTCCGGAGTGAGTATCAGCGTTCCAGTAGCGTAAGGACCATTTGCCTAGTTTGTAATACATCCTTAATTATCCTCTGCCCGCACCCTTTGTAGCTTCCTGACCTTAGCAATCTCGAAAGAAAAGTAAGAACAAGGTCATTAAAGAGCAGGGTCTCACGAATATAGCGCCACTGCTCCTGCTCACGTTAAGTAGCCTTGGCTGGCCATAGCGAACTGAGTTTGGGTGGGGAACAATGCGCACCAGCGGTCATTTACTAAACAGAATAATACTACTAATACTACTAATAGGTATATTGCTCTTCGAACGAGAGACTGTGTCCACCTTTGGCACAAAGCATACTGAACAGCATATTTCATGCTTTTGCATGCATGGTAAACAGATGTGTGATTTTCATAGCTTTTGCTATTTTAGCGTTTTATATTAATTCACAGGTGTGTTTCAGCGCAATGTACATTAATTTGAGTAGTGAATAGTAACAACACTAGGGCTGTCTCATACAATGTGCAATATTTTTTGTTCCATTCATTACATTATTAGGTCTGTTAAGCAAATATTCTATCTCAAACTATCTGGAGCACTAGCAGAAACTCCATCTCGATACGCTTTGGCTGTGAAGGATAAGGATAAGGGAAGGCTGTGAAGGACGTAACTTGGTACTTCCGTACAATTTGACTCAAGATAATGTCAACTGCAGTCTACCAACGTTAACGTTGCAGCACAGTTCCACTCACGACCATCCTAACAAAGATGTTAAACTGGTTAAACTAGGAGGCAGGAGAAAGATGAGGTCCAACTTCTTTCATAGCAGAAGCCGGTGTCTTCTTCCTTGTTTAGACTTCCAGGTGAACGGAGACCAATTGTAAAGTACACAGAAGTCTCAACTGGGATCTCCTACTGCAATCCGAGCACGGAGTGAACACACCAGAGCCGCTATCGGTTGCGCAGTGCTTTTGCCGAAATGACGTGCTTCCTTGGCTGAAGTAAACTGTCGCAACTTCAATTTACGCCATAGTTTTAGTCTGTGATCAGAATATTGTAAATGCATTGCAAGTTAGTTGCTCTATTTAGGCACCATCCACCGGTGTAAGCATGTTGTGTGCAAGTTGTATAGTTTTCGTCCAGGACAGCTACGCCTGTGCGCTCAGCTTCTGCTTGTGTATGTATTCAGTCGACCGATTTCACGAGATCAAGGGCAGCTTGAGAAGTTCCAGCATCGCACTGGTCGTAAAACAAAAATGCGATTATCTGCGAAAGGGCCATATCCCGGTAGTTTTGTGGACTCTTAAACACCTGAGCCCAGTTCGTTTGGTCCTTCATGAAAATAGCACCAGTATGCAGATGCCTCATTTGTTCACTGAAGAGTAAACTCTTCAGACGGATGAGTTGAGAACGGGGAAGGAATTGCCAAAGGTAAGCATATTAGTGGAATCGCGATGATTCCACATCGGAAAAGATTTCATGATGATTAGGTGCCTTATCCCAGAAGCCACATTCCCTAAGCTTCTCTATTCCTCTTCATAATGACATTGAATGGTCAAACTAGGATTGTGCCATCTCAGATATACTAGCAGCGAACTACACGCGCTGCGATAAGGAGCTGACAGACATGCGGCTAGGAGAGATCCCGTAGCGGTTTAGAGTTTTAACGCCGTTTTTTAGTCCTGCACCACTATATATTATCAAACACCAAACGAATTATTTTTGTCTATTACTATCACTGCAACTTGTGACATGTTTTGTCACCTCTTGGCGACAATTCGTAGACATCGGTCTCCCAACGCAGCTGGCGCACACAACAAACAGTGGACTTTAGGAAGCACAGTACTACTCAGACTTGATGAAATAGTTTCTCCAACTTGTTACTCATTAGTGCCAGAGGTAGCGAAAAGCCGCCCGAGCTAAACAGACACAACTAGTGGTCTGCTCGGTAACAACAGCAAGATAGGTAGCACAACTCTGCCTTGCAAATTAGACCAGCTGCTCAGATCGAGCTGGTTAAATCTCGTTCATATAGAGAAGAGGTCTCATAAAAGATCTTGCATATCTAGAATGGGGATATTGCACTAGCTGGCATTAGAAATGGATCTGGGATCAACTGTTTATGTCACAATTTGTTACTGAAATGCGAAGGTAGATGTATTTTCTCCGTCAGCCCCTCTTTGTTTGTAGAATGATGGCAACATGATTTCAAGTTCATTAAGAACAAGGGTCGCGTTTGAAGGTCGTCTAAGTCCAGACACTATGGAACCGGAAAAAAAGTGTAAAGCGATGTAGTTCTGTGGATGAAGGCAATTCGCGACTTCTCCTCAGTGTAGCCAGATATCTCGTAGTTTACTACAATCGTTCTAAGTTGCAAACTGGCAAATAGAAGGACGGAGTAGTCGAAACCCTTCGTGCAGGGTAAGCTAATATTTGGCAATCACTTTTGGACGCCAAACAACGGTTCGATCTGGGTTGTTGCTAGTTACTTAAGCTAAATCTAACCATGTACTTTAGTAACGTAAGCAGTGAACACTGGAAGTTAGTTTGTTTAACGGCTATGCAAAAGTACATACAACCATGTTAACTTTGCTTAGAATCCAATAAGTTAGCCCCACGTTCCAAAGTGCGATTGTTCGACCGGTTTCCTACCGTACTGACATTTAATCGTTGCACGAAGAAATAAACGCATCGCAAGTCTACCACGCCAACTTTCCCTAAACGTGACCATCATGCGCGCACGTTTCGCGCCGCTGTCCTATTTCTCTGTAGTCACAAACACACACGACAGCCTATCGACCAATGCCTGGTTTCCTCGGTGATTGGCTTCCCAATCACGCTCACTTGCACGCCCACGTTTAAAGGGACTAGTAGTATAGCGTGGCAAAATGGTCGTGGTTGGTCTGCGAATCACGGACAATAGGGCCACAGAGCGCGGCACACACAGCACCGCTTGACTCGCGGCCGTAATGTTCTCGCCTGATTGTCTGTTTCTTATACCCTCTTGGTGCCGCAGATCGTCAGCCATTGGTGCGACACTTGTGGAACATCTCTTGCAAAATGTGCTAGCTTATGTCAGAGGCCACAGTTACTTTCGAGGATTCGGCTAACCATCTGTGCCAACCATTTGACCCCGATAGAGCTATAAGCAGACCAATCCACCCATTTCGTTCGGCCTGGGGCTGCCTGAAGTGGTTGTTTTGGACTACTTTATTGGGTCTGTTCAATTGCGGAGTCTCTGTGTTCGATCGACTCAATCACGCGCCTATTACGACTGTCAGCCGCAGGGCACAAAGAGATCTCGAAGTCGGTTCCTACGCACCACCGCAGAACGACAACCTACGCGAACTAACACCTGTTTCAACATACGCGATACTGAATATCGACAACTGTCAAGCGGAATCGCTGATCGAATTTTGCCAGCCGACGGTCTATTGGACTCCACATAAAACTGGGGAAGACAATGCCCCAACCCGATGTTGTTTCGAGGTAGAAGGTAGTAGTTCTTTGTCCCTCTGCTCATTAAACGGCGCATTTGACTCGATTGGAGAGTTCGGGTTTGATGATGCTTACAATTTTCTTGGAACTACATCCCCACCTTACACTCTTTTAAGTACATATTATGCAGCTTCTGAGAATGGCTTAATTGATGATATCACTCGTGACTGTTTTATCTCGGAATTGATACAATCAGTGATCCCACGGAATTTGTCCGACTGCAGTGACATTTCTGTGCCCTCAAATATTCACAAAATGTATGCGTGGGAGAATTCCAAATCTGTCGAATGCAAGAATGATGTGCATTCAACGACGAAAAAGGACACTTTCGAATTGACCTCTGAGATACCAGTTTGTGATGCCTCAATGATATATCCTGGTAAATTATCCATGTCCGATAGTTCACCATCCCCAGTGAGTAGTGCGACAACCCAGTCGACCACAGTGGTTGGTCACGATGAAGAAACGGGTCAGCGACAAACCGACTTGGATTTACCAGGCGTCGATAGACATGACCAGACATTGGCGTGGGCAATGGCAAACCTACACACGGGCGAAAATGAAGAGACATGCTATGCTGGAGACACGCCGAATGACAGGATCCAACGGAGGCAGAGCAGAGACAAGAGTCCGGTGACTACGATTAACTCGATTCGTCCGCCGGATGGCAGAAGCTTTTCTACAGTGATTCCACCCGCAAGTCAGCTTTTTGATGCCAAAGATTCTTTGTTTAACGCAGAATTCCCGGCACCCAAACCAAAGCGCAGTAGTTCCCTGAAATCCCAACGCACTCCACCGGGTACCCCGGGACAGAAAGCAGTTCGCTTTGCTGACGCTTTTGGACTCGACTTGGAATCTGTCCGTCATGTTTTTGACCAGGAGCAGCCACCTAGGATACCAGCTTCGGCAACCTTCGACTTGGATTTGGACAAAGATGAATCAATAGCAAAAATTGGAGCAAAACAATTTAGTCTGTGCTTTGCACAACCTGTCTCATCACCCAACTTTATCCACCGAGTTCTTTTGGAGACTGTGTGTTTGGAAGATGCGCATGTCGAAAACACTCGTGGTAGGCTAACCGGAACTATTCGATTGCGCAGCTTAGGCTTCGAAAAACGTGTTTATGTCCGCATTACGTATAACAACTGGGCCACTTATTTTGACAATCCCGCCTCCTACGTTCTGGACTCTCACGATGGTGCCACGGATCGCTTCTCTTTCAGCGTTGTCTTCCCTGACACTATGGTGCCGGGTGACCGGGCACAATTCGCCATTCGTTACGAGGCACACAATGGGGAACAGTTTTGGGACAACAACCATGGGCAAAATTACTCAGTTACATGTTACGCCAAAGCCACTGACCTTGCCGGAGATGGTTCCTGGCTACACTATCTGTAAGTGATGCGTGTATTATTGAGCCGCATTTGAAGTGCTCTAAAAAAACAGAATGTTCAGCTAAAGAGTTTTGTCTTGTGGGGTTTTCCTGCATGAGGTGAATCAACATCTGCCATCTGCGCTCACTTCATTGTAGTTGCCAAGATTAGTCTTTCCTATCTTACGAAATTTTACTGCCTTATACAGAATTAGCCCGTTCATCATCAAAACTCATCTTCATGGTTTTTGACGGAGTATTTTTTCATTGACCCGTGTATTTCTTAGGACGTTAGCCGGAGGAAAATCATTCTGATCATAAACTAATTTCTGCTATTGTGTACATATCGGCCTCAAGTTTTGTGCCACCAGTGGTCGAACCTTGGTTATCTTTGGGTCATCTTCGTGTACCAAATGAATCAGTAACAGTGTGAAACAGATGTAACAGTAATAAAAGCAGAAGCTCTAGTCTGAAGCATGTCTTTTTATTCTAAGCTCTATTCGTTTTCTACGGAACGACCTTCGCCTCACTATTGCTCAGCTCATTTAGCTATTATAGTGCGAATGCTTCACACGCTAAATAAATTTCCGACCGTTAGGACAGGATTTTATTCGTTAATGCACTTTCAAGGTTACTGGCTCTGTTATTCTTGTTTTAATATGCAAGCGGGACCATATTCACAGTCAAATGGGGTAGCATCGATCGATTGCCCCGTACAGTCGTTCCTCTCACTTGGCCTTGGCATCACGTGAATGCGTTCGCTTAACTGTAGTCCGCCTCAGACGTAGCGTGCATCGGATGAAATATACACTAGTGCACACGTCCACCGCGTACGACTTGAATGCATGAACACAGGGTACGAGATAAGCTAACCAACAAATGGGCCTCGGAGGTAAATCACGTGTTCGTGAGCGCTCGTTTAATTTTCCGTCGAATCTTGTTATTATTTATGTCAGCCTAGAAATGCTACATTTAGGGTAAACGCACCTCCATTGTAACTGCCACTGAACATTCTAGAATGTTGAGTAATCTCATGGCATACCGAATTCTACTGAAAACATCGATTGGTTTCCACTCTAAAAAACTTTTCAGGGAAACTGCTATACGATTGGTGCTAACTTGGGATTTGTCGGCATCACGTTAGGCGAAAAGCGCAGTTCGGCCAGTATCTTGAAGTTGACAGGGCAGGTCCCACGTCTGTCAATGATCTGTAGCCAACTCACTTTTAATCGTTAGGCAAAACTCGGCCTCTGTAACTACTTCTTTACATTTGTGGTTGAATGCAGTCACATCTGTTTTTCAATCCGTTGTACTACACCATTACTATTCCAGTCGACACACATAAACCCGAAGACTCTTCATATGCTGATTCGTGCTAACTGGGTACACCATCGGATTCTGAACAACGACTGAGAGCCCGTTTGGTGTCCGATGCACACCGAACAGAAAATGGCGATGTCAACAACATTTATGTTGGCGGTAATGCTTCCTGGCGAAAACGCTCGCATCGTGTCACCAGGTGTTCACCATTAGTTGCAGATGGAGCACGCAGGTCCATTGTTAATCTATTTGGGGTGCGTGCCTGGGCTCTGATCTCGCCATTATGCTCACATGCTTGGCACTCACGCTTTCGGTTTCTGCGAATGAGCTAATACCTGGAGTCACAGTCACAGCCAGTCACATAATGAAGAACTGACTCACCAATTATCAATGACCATAGGGGCGGTTGTGTCAAATTTCGACTGGAGTAACCTCAAACATGCAATGAAGAATACTTAGGACGTCTGCTGTACTTTCTGACTGTGAATGGATCTCTGATAGTTCAATCAGTTTGATCGATACACGCAAACAGGCTCGTTTGCGTGCCGATTTTGCGTGTAATTGTAACAGAGAAACGACGACTCACTAGGAGTCTTAGCGAAACGCAAGAACCCAAGCGAGCGGAAATGGCAGTATTATAGAGCAGCTCTGAAAAGGCTCTTAGTTTAACAGATGATGGCTGCGACAGACGTACAGTTACTCCCCATACAGCTACGTCACCTGGGCCGGAGCATTTTGAGAAGCATTTTAGCAAAACTTTAGCCAAATCGCTAAAACGTAAGTGGAAAGCAATTGTCATACCCGTAGTTAGAAGCAAGTTCGACGTGAACACTATCTATTAAAATGAAGACTCCTGAACTCGACGATGCTTCTCTATCGTTACCGGAAATAACTGGTCATCAGACACATGCAACGGGTAACTTTAGACCGGCGGTTTTCAAGTGCCATCCCCATCTACAAGAATAAGCGGTTAGTAGCAAGATAGTCAGGTTATTAAGGATAATATTGTTACTAACAAACTCATCACATACATTATAATGTGGAGTCTTATTTGTGCTTGTAGGAGCACTGGAATTCAGGCCAAATACAGACCGGGCCACGGTTACATTAATCCCATATTTGCTCTTCTCTAACTGTAAATGATCAGCCATTGCACTCAGTCTAAGTGCAAGCCGCCTTAGCCTCAACTGATCGTGCCGGTTTGTTGTATTGTCTCTCACCGAAGAGTGAGTCGCAGACTTCCTTTCCATGCAATACCATCTCCATCGCGACGACTGAAGCATCGCAGAGGTCCGTAAGAAACTATCACCGGAGTTCGTTGTGACAACTTTGGTGCACTAAAACTTACCAATGTCCTCTTTACAACTTTTGATGAAAATCATCGCGAATAATTTTAATAATTTAGCCTGTTCTAGGGTGACACTTCCGTTTGCGTAACCGAAACACAGACCCGATATAGGCGAATGATATAGCTTCCTTTGTATCATAACCATCCTCTATTTGATCACTTCATGGACGGTAGGTATGGAGAGCTGTACTCTTCAATGTCCGTTTCACACCTTCCACGGAGAAGCAGCTGTTGCCTGAACGGGCCACCATGCAGCCCGTTCTGGCTGTCACCGAATGGCTACTGAAGCGGTGGATCGCTTCGATTTCATATTACTGATGACCACTCTATCACCAAGGAGGTTGCATCGCTTATCAGTCAGCTTTGTGTCGCTCTGAACTATAAGTAGCATGATGGTGCAGCAGTACAGTAGTCGAAATTGGCGTGTATAGCGATACGATGAAGCCTGTTTTATTGTATGGGTTGGAACTATGTGTGATTCGCATTGAGAAATTGGTCTTATTGGATCACCGATTTTGGCGAAGTACTGCTGGTATCTGGCGGAAGCGTCAGGCGAGAGATTTCAACACCCGCCTAAAATAAACCCATTAGAAATGCAGTCAAACGTCTACTGGATTTAAACCGTTTACGTTAGCTGGGTCATGTGATTTGGGTACGGTTGATTACCCATAAACTTGCTCAGATTGGCTTGTGCCGTCTTCTTGGATGTGGGGTATCTGATTGATCTCTACCGTTGGTAATAGAGCACGCTGGATATGGCGCAGTCGATTCTGCAAATAGCTGTTAAAATCATCTCAATTAATTTTAACCACATCTTTTCGTAAAATACATGTACTTTGCTTGGCTTTTTTCCCACCAATATTGCTGTGATCCCGATAGTAACCACCTTGACAATGCTATTCGTAGCACATCGGGGTCTAGACGATAGCCGTTTTGTTGAACTGAACCCAACTTAATTTCAAATTAACTCCCAGAGACTATGTTTCCACGTTGGGTTCTTCCGGTGTGAAACGCCATATTTGTGAATTTATTAAAAATGTATGCATATTGCTTCGAATTACGCGGCGCAATTCCTAAGGTAGGAACTGATCAGTATATACAAAATTGATCATACTCCAGAATGAGTGTATATTGCTGAGGATTTGCTGGTTTTTAATATATTTAGCTCCACCCTGGATTATCTCATCAGGTGAGTTGTCATATGAGACCATGAATAATACCCCCTTCTAGGCCAAGTAAGACATCGAGTTTGGTGTGGAATGATGTACGGTCTTCACATGCTCTGGTTCTACTTTGCAGGCTGTTCCCCATGACAGCGTACCAGACAAGGAAAATTTCGAGTGCCTGGTTGTTCTACCATCGATACAAACAGCCTATAGCTTTTGTTACGGTTTTTGAGGTGTATTTCGCCTTATCTCTAAATTAGGCAAGTAGGTACTCGTTTTCTGACGTCGCAAATTGGGTAGGAACATCATTGTTGCTTCAGACGCTGCAGCCAGTGGGGCTTTAGTTGAGGTTGCCTACAACTTTCACGATAATTTGGGGTGGATGTGTTAGTGAACAGACGTTTAGTGAAGGACCCCTGTAAACTTGCCTGTCAATTATCCACATGTAACCGCAGATGAAATTGCAGAACCTGAGGATGGGATGAGTGAGCGTTTAGAACAACTCAATTTTGTCAACGGAACAATGGAACAATGGTGTATTACGGGTGAAAAAGCATCGCTTAACAAGTCCCGTGGGATGGAATTTATTGCGAAAATTAATTGCATAATAAAGTGAAAAGCGTTGTGGTGGACTCACCATAGACTTATGTGGAATAGCGGAGATGTTCGCGTATTAAACGTATAAATCCATAAATGCATTGGTTAGGCGTTTGGCAAGACACCGTTTGATTGCGTTTCGTAGCCCCTGGCTAACAGATCATAAAATGAAATGTAAGTGAGACAATGCATCGTCAACACGTATTTTAAATATCACCAGATTGGGTGCAGAGACGACATAATTAGGGAGGGCGTTCCAAGGCTGGCACACGCGGAGAGAAAAGAAATTTCTACGGCATTCAAGCCGGCTATAATGAATTGTCAGTTTCAGAGGGTGACCTCTTAGTTTAGTGTTGTGGTTCAATTCCAGCAGCGGACGGCAAATGTGGTTTGGGTTCTTCAGAATCTGGTAAACCATT